GGGTTTAGGGTTTAGGGTTTAGGGTTTAGGGTTTAGGGTTTAGGGTTTAGGGTTTAGGGTTTAGGGTTTTCGGCTTGCTTCTGCCCGGCTCTTAGGACTTTAACCTCTCGGGTTTTTGTAGAAACTACCATACGGAGCCTAAAAGTTAAACTTTTAGGAGGGGTTCAGAAGTCAGCCAAGGGTTTAGGGCGAGGTTTTTTCTGCAGGGCGTCAGCCACACTTAGGGATGTAGGGTTTAGGGGTTCAGGGCTGAGGGTTGAATTGAACACCGGCTGATTGGGATGTTCCCCCTTATACTAACAGTCCTTTAATACGGCGTACAAAAATCCACTATGGTATGGCAACTGCCACCCTTTGCAGCTGCACCTGCTGCGCATAGTACCTCAACCGGTCGGGATGTTTCCCCTTATACTGACAGTCCTTCATAGGCCCTGCAACAGAGACCTTACTGGTGGTTTCCGTTGCTTGTCGTGTTCAGGAGTCTAATGTTGGTTTTAGGGGGTGAAGTTTAGGGTTTAGGGTTTAGGGTTTGGGGTTTAGGGTTTGGGGTTTAGGGTTTTGGGTTGAGGGTTTAGGGTGCTTTGTGGCCTTAAACCCACCGAAGCTGGTTCCAAGGTCCACTCAGATAGCGCGCTGCAGAAGATTCTTGGTTGGATTTAGGGGGCCCCCAAGTCACGGGGACTTTTTTTTGGCGTTTAGGGTTTAGGGTTTTGGGTTTAGGGTCTCCGAAGGCTTTTAGGGTTCAATTAGGGTTGTAGAGTTCAGAGCTCTGGGGGAGCTTAGGGTAAAGTTTAAGCTTAGGAGTCTATATAGGTTAAGTTTCATTTCTGAGGGGTTGCCATCACTGTTCTCCATGCTTACCTTTCCTCGCCTTTCCCCCCCTCTCCCTTTTTGCGTACCCCTAAACCCTAAACCCTAATTCCTAAACCCTAAACACTAACCAAAGCATCGCCGGATCCTTCCCGAACATCGAAATCCCAAAAGCCCACAAGTGTGTGTTTCCATTTTGGCTGGAAGTTCCCCAGACACCAAACCCTAATCCCTAAACCCAAAACCCACAATCCCAAACCCTAAACACATCCTCCACCACAAAATCCTCAACCACAAGCCCTAAGCCCCAAATCCCAAACCTGAAACCCCAAACCCTAAACCCTAAACCCTAAACCCCAAACCCTAAACCCTAAACCCTAAACCCCAAACCGCACACCCTGGCCCCACGCAAGGAATCTCCACAAGATTGAGAGGTTGGACGTTCGGGATGCGCACCCTGGAGCTGAACTGAGCAAGCGTGTCGGTTTTTGGGGGGTTTAGGGTTTAGGGTTTGGCGTTTAGGGTTTAGGGTTTAGGGTTTAGGGGGTAGGGGTTTAGGGGTTTAGGGGTTTAGGGGTTTAGGGGTTTAGGGGTTTAGGGGTTTAGGGGTTTAGGGTTTAGGGTTTCGGGTTTCGGGTTTGGGGTTCAGCACCATGTCGCCCCACCTTTGGTCGTAAGTCTCTCTGAACACCAATCCCTGGCACCCTAACCCCCCCCCCCAAAAAAAAAAAAAAAAATCATTAACACGAAGCTAAATCAGAATGAATCAAAAAAGGATTTCCGAAATTCGGGTTCCCTTTCTTGGGGTTCCTTTGAAAGGATTATAGTATTTCGGTGTATGTAAGGGGCAATGCTCCCTAAGCCCAAATACCTTTACACCTTAGTACCCCAAAACCCCTAAACCTGACATCCCAAACCCTAACCACGTTCCTTTTGAGGCAGGCGTCTGTGCCCGAAGACAAAGATCGAGTTTTGGAAAAGATTGATGACAAGGACTCTCCCTGCTTAGCGTCTGGGTGTTTAGGCATCAGGAGTTCAGGGCGTGGGGTTTGGGTTCAGGGCCTTTGTTGCAATTGTCTTTCGGGCCCCCTTGCAGGGTCCGGTTGGTCTCGAAAGGCAGGCCTACTAAGAATTTAGGATTCTATACCCTCAGTCAAAAGATGACTTGAACGTGGATAGAATAGAGGCTGCCTTACTTGCAGCCCTACTTCAACTACGCATGAGGCCGGTTCTCTGAACGAGGCGTCTCCTGGTATTCCATGGATCCCTGGTAGAACATCGGGCATTTTGCTTGTGCCCCCTGCTCAATTGACGATTGATCCATCTGAGTTACTCTGGGAGTGCCTCCCAACATTCCAGACATATCCTGGCAGCTCCGACATCCCTTTCGAAGCCCACATGGAATCCACTGAAACCCATAGGGAAGCCCAAGAAAGGTCGCTGAAAGGTGTAGAGGGGGCGCATGGGGGTGCATGGCGTCCTGGGTCATAGCGGTTTACAAGATTACCTTAACACCTAAACCTTAACCCCGGAATGTATGGGTTAAGGTTTAGGGTTCGGGGTTTAGGGTTTAGGGTTTATAAGGGTTTATAAGGGTTTAGGACTTGAGGTTTAGGGTTTGGGGTTTAGGGCTTGGAGCTTTGAACATGGCAGAGCATGTGTGTAGCCGCTTGGAGACAGGACTCCTTCAATGAGTCCGTCCGTCAACTGCCCCATGGCTTAATTTGAACGCGTCGAGCGCATGCAGGGTTTTGGGGTTTAGGGTTTAGGAAACCCTAAACCCTAAACCCTAAACCCTAAACCCTAAACCCTAAACCCTAAACCCTAAACCCTAAACCCTTTAAGGTTTTCTGTACAGCGCAATGAGGACCTGTTTGTGTAGATCCAGGGTGCCACTATGCACACGGCCTTCCAAGCGCACAATGTTTCAATCCCTGCACTATAGGAAGGGCCCCTACTTAAGTGATAAGCCCCTGTCCATGCCCGCCAAACGGTGGGGCCGGTGTTCGGGCTTAAGGTTTAGGGCCGGGTTGAGGTTGTATGTTTGGGGCTTGAGGTCATCTCCGATCTGCAAGATCCAAGCCCCAAGCTTTGATCCCATCGCCCGAAGCCAAAAAGGCCAGCTCTTCACCGGATTCTTTGCTGAGAACACTAACCCTATACCCGAAACCCAAACCCTAAACCCTAAAACCTGACACCCCAAGCCCTAAACCCTCTGAACAAGGCTGAGCCTCAATATCCAGGGATGTTACCTTATCAACCCTTTAGGAACAGTTATAGATCAACTACCTCAAATATCTCTTCTAGTAGAACCCCTCTTTTCCATCCAGATGGTGCGTTCGTGCGCCATTGTCACTCGATCCCACGCCTAGTTGCGACTCCATTCGCAGAAGTACATGATATTGACTCACTGAAGCGTAAGCCCAAAACCCAAACCCCTTCTCAACGTAAACCTCAAGCCCTAAACCCTAAACCCTAAACCCTAAACCCTAAACCCCAAACCCTAAACCCTAAACCCTAAACCCTAAACCCATTCGAAAACTCAAGGCTCCTGGACCGGAACGTTGGATTGCTCACGCGGTTCCTGTTCGATCTGCATGGTCAGGCGGGCCAGCGCCCGGAGCTGTAAGCCGCAAGCCCGAAGCCAACAATGCCTCGTTCCCCCCCGAGTGGAGGGTAGGGTTTAGGGTTTAGGGTTTAGGGTTGAGGGTTGAGGGTTGAGGGTTGAGGGTTGGGGGTTGAGGGTTGAGGGTCGAGGGTCGAGGGTTGAGGGTTCACGGTTGAGGGTTTGGTAAGAACCTACAGACAAGCAGGCTTTAACTTAAAAGGCAGGGGTCGGCAGCCCAATCCCCTGTTGAAGCCTTTGTACCCTCAAACATACCCCAAACCCTATACACTCAAAAAGTTTCAATCCCCTACTTGAAGGTTCAGGGGCGGTTCTTCAGAGATCTGACAAGGGTACCCTACGAACCATCCAGAACTTCAACCCGGCCCTAAGCCCTCAGCCCGAAAAAGGTTGCTTTTGCTTTCGCCTGTGTCTTCCCAAAATCCTAAATCCTAAACCCTAAACCCTAAACCCTAAACCCTAAACCCTAAACTCTAAAAAGCAGGCTGGTCCTCACGATGCCCTCGACGCCATGACCCATGTCATGGTCGACGCGATGCTCTTGGCCTTGAGTGGCCAAGTAGGGCGTGAAGGGCTTTGGGTTTTGAACGATTTAGGGTTTAGGGTTTAGTGT